GTGAGCCACCGCGCCCGGCCTCAGATTAGTTAATATTGAGCATTTTTAATAATGTTTCTGAAATTACTAAATAGTTGGAAATCTAGAAGAATTTTTTATTTTATTTCATAAAACAGTAATTGAGAAATATAAAAGTAGAAGCATTATAATCTCTACCTCCTGCCTAAAAAGTACAGGGCAGTATTAATCTGTATTTACCAGAATGAATGTTCACTTGATTTATTTTATATTTCATGGATACATTCAAAGAACGAAGGTTATTGCTAAATGGTGGGCCAGTTAAACAAAATATTACTTTAATGGTAATATGATTGTAACATAGCTTTTTGAATTCAGGAGACTTGGTATGCCAATCGATTTCTCAGTGGGGGTACTGGTATTTTGGTAGGACAGCACCATTGTTGGAAAATGTCCTGGACATTGCCAGACCTTCTGTATACCCAACTACGACTGCCACATGCTAAATACTATTAGGTCATTAAATATGAAATGTCCGATTTCAAATCAAAAGTATAGTTTATTATATCTCAAACAAGAAGCAGTACAATTAATCAAAGTATGCACCTAAACTATCACACAATTTTGCCATCTTAACCGTAGCTTGGTTATGCTAGCAACGATGAAGCCTGGAGAGTGAGTGGTGATGAAACTGTGAAAGATGTTTTCCACGGCTTGTTGAGAATTTAATATTTTTCCTTGCCAGAAGTGATCCAAAGCCTGGAAGAAGCAGTAGTCAGTTGGTGCAAGATCCGGTGAATATGGTGGATGCCAGAGAGTTTCCAAGTCCACCTTCTGTAGTTTGAGCAGCATTGTTTGTGTGACATGTGGTCAAGCATTGTCTTGGAAGATGTTTGAACTGCCTCTATTGACCAATATTGGCTGCTTAATTACAAGCATACTCAACATTTCATCCAATTAGTTGCAGTAGACATTTGCTGTCATCAATTGACCAGATTTCATGATGCTGTAATGGATAAGCGCTGGACCACCAAATAGACACCATTAGCTTTTTTTGATAAATATTCAGTTTTGGACTGTGTTTCAGCATTTCATCTTTATCCAACCATTGTGCTGAATGCTTGTGATTGTCAAAAAGAATCCATTTTTCATCACACATAACAATACGGTATATAAATGGTTCACCTTTATGTCGTGACAGCAAAGAAAGGCAAGCTTCAAGACAATTTCTCTTCTAACATGCATTTAATTCATGTGGTACCCATCTTTTCAGCATTTTTACCTTGCCAGTTTGTTTCCAAATATCCAATATTGTTGGAACTGTAACATCAAACCTTGCTGCTAAGTGTTGGATGCCAGAGAGTTTCCAAGTCCAGCTTCTGTAGTTTGAGCAGCGTTGTTTGTGCGACAAACACAGGTTGAGATGGATTCGCTTCCATTACAGCTTTCCGCTCATCATTATCCACCTTGGTCTCAGCTTGCCCACGTGGCTCATTTTCAGGATTATAATCACCAGAATGGAACTTCTCAAGCTATTGACATACTGTGCGTTCATTAGCCACATCCTTCCCAAATACTTCATTGATATTTCGAGCTGTCTGTGCTGTATTGGTTCCATGATAGAACTCATATTTGAAAATGATATGAATTTTTGACTTATCCATGGCTTCACAAAAATTGCTCTTAAAAAAATGTGAAAGATAAACACAAGCCAAAACTTGCATTTGAAAGACTGAGGATGTACCTTCACAATAAAAATAAAACAAGAAGTGTCAAAGTGAAATGTCAGAGATATCAACGGTCAAACTTAGTACTTAAGAAAATTGAACATTTCATACTTAATAATCTAATAGTAACACTCCTTAGTCCTTATGACAACCAAAATTATCCTGCCAAATTTCTGTACTCACCCAATGAAGAACCATTGACTTTATTATAATTTCAAAAGGACATAAAGAGTGGAGTCACTTGTTTAAATCTCTCTAGTCTAGATGATGTTTTGATATGTAGAAAATCCATGCTTCCAGATAAAGAATAATTGATGTGGACCGATTTTGTCTCTTAGAAATAACAAAGTTTGAGTGACAAACCTAGCAAACATTAGCAGAGTTGATGTAGGCATCTTGTGTTTACTGATCTTTTCTTTTGAGGAATGTGAAAAAGGATTAATTGTATTTTCTGAATGTGCCAGTACCTTTTTAATAAGTGTCTATGAATTGAAGAGTCTTGTCCTTTTATAGCAATTTATGATAAAACTAAGAATTTTTATTTCTATCAAAAGAACTTTATTAAATGTTTAATAAACATTTATTGGCTTGTAACATTTTTCCTAAAATAAGTTAGGATGGAGTTATCCACACACATCTCAGAAGATAGCTTGGCTATCCTACTGAATTTGTTTTAGGTGATCCTTCTAACTGAAGAGTAAATCCACCATAAATGAAAGATTAAACATAAAAGCTAGTTATATTAGTGTTGGTGTTTTAAACCCAGAAGCCAATAAATTGCAGCTACGCTTTATACTGATTATAAAGCTAAAATGCGTTATAAATTGTACCCACTGCTTTTTGTTTGTTTCTTGGGGCACTTTTCAACAAGCTTCATTTGGTTGAAATCTCAGTTTATTTAAACAAAGTACTATAGTTGTCACTGCAGAGCAAAACAAGATTGAAAAATGAGATGCTGGTGATTATTTTACTCTTTATTAATTGACTTAGGGACTTAGTTCTTCACTTGGCATGTGTCTTTATTTTTTTAATGTGATGTGATATAGTAAAGCTGATGGAATGGGAGTTGTGTAACTGCAAAACTAAGGCAGAAGCTGTAGTATTATATTGTTAATATCTGTGGGCTTTTATAAAAGAAGCATAACGGGTATCAATGTTTTGGTGTTTTCCTTATATGTAAGTTCACATAATTTGGTGCTTAGAGATGATGTTTACATTTATTATCCCCATGAGAAACCAAAGTAGAGCTCATTGCATTCTTGATTGAGGTTGTAGCTTTCACTTCATTTAAGGTTTATAAGAAGGAATACTATTTCCTCAGCAGGAAAGAACAATTAACCAATTCATTAGTTATATCCTGTTTAAACTTTTAATTTTTAAATTTGCTACTACTCTCCTTTTGATATAGGCATTAACTTTTATTAGGAACGAATAATATTTTTGTAGCTTTGAATTGAGGCACTATAAATATTTTTATTCTGGCAAAGAGTATGACTTTGCATAAACTAAAAAATATTCATAACATAAAAGAATGTATAAATCATTCTATTACATTTTTAAATGTTTTATTTTGGACATTGGCTTTTTATATATTAGCCATGAAGCTACACTCACATTTTATAAAAGTTTCGTGCTTATTAATTAAATGTATAGCTCTCATTTGATAACTCTAACCATTTTATTTTATTATTTCAAAATAATTTTATAATTTGTATAAGAATTGCCAGAGACTTTATTTAGGGTAGAACAAATTTGAAATCATTAAGTCCAAATTTAAGAAGTTAATTCTTCATTTGTTATACAGTGGTAATGTATATACCTCTGACTTAGGATTTGAAGACTTGGAATCAAGGCCTATAATTTTTCATGTAGACTGTGTTAGTAACTGTGCTGCATTTATATAATAGAAACAGCATTAGATTTAAGATACTTAGTTTAATTAAGAGTATGCTTGGATGATTATATTTAAAGGTTGGAGACTTGGCTAGACTATAGACACATTTCGTCTGTCCAACCTTAATTATGTTTTGCTTTTAAATATTTTAGGTTGTTGCCGAAATGATGTGGTTGATGGATCATATTTTTAAGTACACAAACTTTGGAATTGTTTCTCTACTTCATGGAGACTTCTTTATAAGACAAGTAAGTAATGAGCATTTTTTTCATGGTGATAGCCTGGTCAAACTGATTCTTGATTATAAAAAGAGGCATAACAAAACCAATTATAATAGGTTGGGCCTGTTCTAGGGTCTCAGGGAGCTCTTCCTCTGAATCTTGGTTCCCTAAACATTTATTGCAATCTGAATTTGAATATGCATAAATATTAAAATGCTTATAATGCAAATATTCTAATCTTCCCTCTCCTATCTAGAGGGTTACAATTCAGTTTAGTAAACATTTTTCAAGTACCTGGTACATTCCCTGCTCTTCTACTTCTTAGCTATGTGAATTGGCCAAATTACTTAAATGTAATTTGAGAATAATAGATGGTACCCACCCCAGATGTTTGTTGTGGGGATTAAATGAAGTCGTACATGTAAAGCACTGAGAACAGTGCCTGCTACCTCAACATCATTTTCATCATGATTACCACTATCATTATCTATATTATCACTATTATTTTTATTTATAAGATACTATTGTATCATACAGAAGAGATCTAAATTACTAGTAGAGAGATCATTAATTAATATAATAATAATAAATGTTTTGGGAATTCATGGTAGGAAAAGTAAGTACATCAGATTTCTATGAATCCTGAAAAACTTTAGAGAAGATGATATTTGGCATAGATCTTTCTTTTTCTTTTTTCTTTTTTTTTTTTGAGACAGAGTCTCACTGTATTGCCCAAGCTAGAGCGCCGTGGTGCAGTCATAACTCACTGCAACCTCAAAATCCTAGGCTCAAGGCTTGAGCAATCCTCCTGCCTCAGCCTTTTGAGTAGCAGAGCCTACAGGCTGGCACCACTGCATCCAGCTAATTTTTTGGTAGAGACATAGTCTCCGTATGTTGCTCAGGCTGGTCTTAAACCCGTGGCCTCAAGTGATCCTCCCTCATTAGCCTCCCAAAGTGTTAGGATTACAGGCATGAGCCACTGTGCCCAGCCTTGGCGTAGATTTTAAAGAATGGATATAGATTTGATGGAGAAAGGTGATTCGGGAACAGTCCCAATCATTAGGAATAATTCAGTATAGCAAAAAGAATCATAGCCTCTTTTCAAATCAGTACTACATTATAGGGATTTATCTGATACGTATATGTCTATATAATAGTATCACATGCTTTATTTTCTCCAAAATGGATAAGTGAAATATGATATGTAAGAGTTTTTATGTATGGTCATGCCACACTTATTTGGTGTTTATATACTTAGCAACTTTAACCTGGATTGTGCAGTGCCTTTCACATAATAAGTACTTAATGAATAACTGGTGAATCTGATTAAGCCAATTATAAGAACCTCAAATTCAGAAATAAGCTAGAAATGAGTAGAAAAACTTGTAAGCTCTGTGTGAAAATAGGTGTCACAAAACACATATACTTGACTCCAGACAGTTTTATGCACAGACATATTTTTGTTTTTCACGTGCTATGCAGTTGTTTCTTTGGGAAACCTCACTGAGTGGAGAAACGAATAGAAACACAGACTGGAATCTGAGGAAGAAGTGGCAATGGGGATTGGCCACAAGGTCAAGACAAAACAAACAGTGATCAGAACGACTTAACAAAGAACCTAATCTTTGAGAAGGCAGCAGAACCAAAAATTAGAAAGCTTAGCAGTCTACAAAAATAAATAAGTGGGACCTGATCAAATTAAAAAGCTTCTGCACAGCCAAGGAAACTATCACAAGAGCAAACAGACAACCTACAGAATGGGAGAAAATATTTGCATGTTTACACATCCAATAAAGGGCTGATAACTAGAATCTGTATAGAACTCAGGAAAATTAGCAAGAAAAAAACAACCCTATCAAAAAGTGGGCAAAGGATATGAACAAACTTTTCAAAAGAAGATAGACTAATGGCCAAGAAACATATAAAAAAATGCTCAGTATCTCTAATCATCAGAGAAATGCAAATCAAAACCACAATGAGATATCACTTATCTCCAATGAGAATGGCCTTTATCAAAAAGTCCCAAAACAATAAATGTTGGCATGGATGCGGAGAGCTAGAAACACTCATACACTGCTGGTGGGACTGCAAACTAGTACAACCTCTGTGGAAAGCAATATGGAGATACCTCAAAGAGCTACAAGTAGAATTACCATTTGATCCAGCAATCCCATTACTGGGCATCTCCCCAAAGGAACAAAAGACATTCTGTAAAAAAGACATTTGCACTAGAATGTTTAGAGCAGCACAAATCACAATTGCAAACATGTGGAAACAACCCAAGTGCCCATCAATACATGAGTGGGTTAATAAAATGTGGTATATGTATACCATGGAGTACTAGTCAGCCACAAAAAACAATAGTGATCTAGCACCTCATGTATTATCCTGAATAGAGCTGGAGCCCATTCTACTAAGTGAAGTATCATAAGAGTGGAAAAACAAGCACCACATGTACTCACCATCGAATTGGTATTAACTGATCAACACTTAAGTACACATACAGTAATAACATTCAGTGTTGGGCAGATGGGAGGGGTGCGGAGTGGATGGGTATATACACACCTAATGGGTGTGGTGTGCACCATCTGGGGAATGGACACGCTTGAAGCTCTGACTCAGGTGGGGCAAAGGCAATATATGTAACCTAAACATTTGTGCCCCCATAATATGCTGGGGAAATTTAAAAAAATAAATAAATTAAAAAAAAAAAAGCTTAGCAGTCTAGTAGAATCCAGTGGAAAAACTAGCTGAGCCCCTTACATCATTTCCAGTTTGAGAAAATTGCTGAATTCATAATGTAGTATAGTTAATCCTAATGATGATCCTCAGACAAGAAGAAGCTAAATTATGCCAAACTATTGTTATACTTTGAAGGGATAAAAATGGAAAATAATGTACTCCAAAATATTTGCCATGTTATTACAATGCAAAGTTTTGCATGCTTAAAGACTACATTTCAAAGTATCTGGGAGATTTGCAAATTAATTTCTAAAGAGCAACATTTTTTCCCCTTCTAGATTAATAATAAAAATCTATAACATGGGGGAGGGAAGAGAAAAAAAATCTCTTGGGACTTTGCTACTAGACCATTTTAACAATAATGAAAATATTGAATAGTAAATAGAAAATAAGAATAGTAAAAATATTTTATTTGCAGTCTTGGGAATTTAATAGCTATCTTAATCATAATTCAATTCAGTAAACTAGCTAAGAAAATGTCTTACTTATTTGGGATACATTTAATCTGAAGACTGAAAGCATACTAATTATTTTGAGGAGCTTCTGTAATTGTGTTGGCTGGAAAATTATTAGCAAATTGAACATACTGAAAGGAAGAAGCTTTGTGATATTTAGTTGTAAGTTTGGGGCCTTCCTACAAATTTTTATGGATTCTTCTTTTTCAGTCTTCAAGTCATCCTCCTCTTTTTTCTCCTTCCTTCACAGTTAAGATCAGTCTATCAGAATGTCCCGTTTGCTTTGCTTTCAGTTTTTTCCCTGAATGTCCCAACTTCTCATCAATACACTATAATTAAATCTCATCAAACTCCCTCGTGTGGAATACTGCAATGGTCTCCCAACTTATCTCCTACAGTCTTTTTGTCACTGGAGCCAGCAGATTTTTTTAAAAATACAAATAAGATTATGATGCTTCCTTGTTCAAAACTATCCAAAGATGTCCCCTCCAAAATACTATTCATACACAATAAGTATGTGATCTCCACCTTCCTCTGCAATTTCATCTCCTACCACTGACTTCCTCATTCATCACACGTCCACCACTGTGGCCTTGATACTGTTCTTTACACGCCACGGTTGTTCCACCAAAGGGCCTTTGTCCTTTTTGTTCTCGTCCCCTGGAATATTCTGGCTCTCATCTTCACATGGCTTATTCCCTCACATTATCAGCTCTTTGGTTAAACGTCACCTCCTCAGAGCAGCTTTCGCTGACCCTTTCTGTCCTCTTACTATTTTCTTCCTATCATACATCACCAATTGAATTTACACTCCGTAGCTACTGTCTTCCCGAAGTAGGGTATAAGCTCCATAAGGGACTCTCATTTAGGCCTCAAGCCCCAGTGTCTAGGGTAGTGCTTGGCAAATAGTAGGCACTCAGCAAGCAGTCACTGAACTGATGAATGACTGAACTTTGAGAGACAATCAGAACAATTTCCTTTTTCTTCAGAAAGATTTATTTGTATAAGTGCTAATAACGTCTCTCTTTTTACCACTGTGTTCAAAAGGGAAATAAGTGGGGGGGGGGAGGAAATCACTATTCTATTCTATGATTGGATTTTAATTTAGAAGCTGTTATTTCTAATTTTATGGCATTTTAATTTCAGATGTACCTGTACTTATTACGCGTGTGTACTTTCTAGGGAAGATCTTACCGTGACCAACAGCTGCTACTTCTCAAGAAGCACTTAGAAAATTATTACAGAAGCAGAGGTCGAAAATGGATCGTTTTGTTTCCAGAAGGGGGCTTCCTCAGGAAGAGGCGAGAAACAAGTCAGGCATTTGCCAAGAAAAATAACTTGCCATTTCTTACACATGTCACTCTGCCAAGGTGTGGGGCAACAAAAATTATTTTGAGTACACTTGTAGCACGACAGGAAAATGGAAGTCCAGCAGGAGGAGATGCTAAAGAATCAGGTATGATGGTTTTTAGCATTTTTTACGTTGGAATTAAGGAATTTTCTCAAGTTCTAGAAAATTATAATTTTTTTTATGTTTATAGTTTTTGTTAAACAGAAATAATACTTAGGGAGAAGGTGAAATTGTAATTTTTAAAATGTTTCAATGTACAAAAATAGTCCATGCTTACAATAATTTATTCAAATAATACAGAAATGTGTAAAGCCAAGGTGTCTTTCTCCTACCGCACTTATTCATATTCTGGGTCATTCCCACGGCTGCAATAAACATCCTGTACATATCTTTACATATTGGTGGAACTACTGCTGTAGTATATGTTCCTAGAAGTGGAATTGCTAGGTTAAAAAATACACATATAGGAATGACTTGTTTGAAGAACTAATCATAGATATGCAAATGCAAATAATAACAATACATGTTATCAAGTTTAGAAAGTTTTTTGTTTTTAATACAGAGAATGAATTTAATGAGGTTTGATGGTATTTAATTAAGAGCCTTAAAGTGTTA